ATGTAAAATGGTGCAACTGCTATGGAAAACAGGATGGAATTTCCTCAAAAGGTTAAAAATAGAATTACCGGTTCTGGGGATTTAGCTCAGTGGCAAAGCGCCTGCCTGGCAAGTGCAAGGTCGTGAGTTCGGTTCCCGGTACCGGAGAAAAACCAAAACCAAAAAAAAAAAAAAAAAATAGAATTACCATGTGACCCAGCACTTCTGCTGCTGGGTATGTATTCAAAAGAACTAAAAGCAAGGATTCAAACAGCTATTTGTACACCTGTGTTCACACCAGCGTTATTCACGATAGCCAAAGGGTGGAAGCAGCTAAGTATCCATGAGGAAATGAATGGACACACAAAATATGATGTATATGAACTGCAAAATATAACTCAGCTTTAAACCAGAATGAAATGTTGACATGTGCTACAATATGAGTGAACCTCAGAGCATTTTATGCTAAGTATAAAGCAAGCCAATCACACAGGATAAATACTGTCTGATCCTGTTTACCTGAGGGTCTTGATCACTATCTTGTCACTGGGACAGGGTATTTGACACTCACAATGGAGAGACTGAGAGGTTTATTCTGACTCACCATTTCAGTCCATAGCCCTCTGACTCTGTAATGGTTGATACATTGTGTCAACTTGAGAAGTTTAGAAGTTTAACTGAGTGACTCAGCAGGGGGCCAGGGTCCTCACTTTGTAAACAGCCTGAGCTTGTGGAAGAGAAGGGCACAGAGATGGGGTGCACTGATGGCGGGCAAACAACCTAAGGGAGGAGAAGAGGCTTACTTCCCCCTTTGTGCTCTTGCTGCTTTTGCTGTCTTTTGCACCTTGAACAAGGGCCATGCCGCCCCTGCTTTGTAGCCCACTGAGTATGCACTGAAACCTCCACAAAGTGTGAGCTAAATAAACCTTTCCTTCCTTAATTCTGGGCGTCAGGTATTCTGTCTCAGCAAGGAGAGAAAAGTAACCAGACAGAATGCAAGGCAGGATAGCATGGCAGAGGGCACGGCGGAGGGAAACTGCTCCCATGACAGCGGTCAGGAAGCAGAGGGGGAGGAGGCGGAGGGAGAGCCGGAGGGGACATACACGCTTCCAGTCACCTCAGGTGACCTGCCGCTTCTGAGCAGATCCCATCTCCTGATGGCAAGTCAGCCCTAAGACCTTGGTAATCCAGGTGCAGTCCATATGCACAAGGCTTTAGAGGGCATTTCAGATCCAGACCATAACAAGGAGGGGCCGAGGCAGTCACATTCATAGAGATAGAAAGGACAGTGGCCCTTGCCGGGGCCGGGGGCCCGGTGGGGTGGGGTGGGTTGTAGAATTTTTGCTTGGTGGGTACAGATTTCAGTTTTTCAAGATAAAAAGAGTTTTGCGGGTAGATGATGACGATGGTTGTACAACAGTGTGAATGTACTTAATGCTGTTGAAATGTGCACTCGAAATGACTAGGATGGTAGACTTTATGTTATATGCATTTTACTATGCTCATATATACATAGTAAGGCGCTGGGCAGTGTTTCTCAACCTTTCTTTCATTATAGACCCTCTACAGATACTCCATTTAGATATTTTTTCCCTAGCTGCCCTCCTCCAAAGAAATGATAATAGCAGAGAAATACACTACATTATGTTCAGTGTGTACCTGGGCTATATATAGAGAATAACATTATATTTTTTTCCCTCCAAGAACCATTTTCCACCCCAGGCATTATCATTCTCATATAGAATATATATATATTAGGCCAGGTGATGGTAAACCTTTTAGAGATGAGTGCCGAAACTGCAACCCAAAACCCACTTATTTATCACAAAGTGCCAACACTGCAATTAAACCTGAATGCAGAGGTAAAACTCACACATTAACGTCTTTTTTTTTTGTTTTTGTTTTTGTTTTGCGACAGGATCTTGCTATGTAGTTCAGGCTAGCCTTGAACTCACTATGTAGCCAAGGCTGGTCTTGAACTCACAGCGATCCTCCTGCCTCAGCCTCTTTTAAGTGCTAGGATTACAGGCTTGTGCCACCATGCCCAGCCTATATCTTTTGTCTTAAAAGAAAAACACAGTTACAGAGCTTTTAATGATACAAACCACTTTTTATTGAAAGGTAGAAGTTTGCATTTGGTGTGCTTTTGAACAATTAATGTGGTCTTTGCGGTTGTATGCATGCTGATAATTTGTCATACCTTGGCTGGTGTGACACCAATGGGTAAATATTGGTCAGAAGTCACACAAAGAAATGTAAAACAGTAACATCAAAAAATATTGAGAGAGAGGAGATGATAGATTGATTTCGCGCTCTAAGGGGCACAGGAAGGTAGGAGGCATTCCTATGGAATGACGATTGAGCTGAGGTTGGAAGATCAAGAAACCTCACATAGGCAGAGAGGAGAGCGAGACCCTTCCACAGATCAGGGACAATCTGTGCAAAGGGTCGGTGCCCAGAGAGCAAGAACCCTTTAAGAAACCAAAAGAAGACATCAGTGACAGGCAGAAATTGGTGCGAAGTGGAAGTAGCTCAGCAATTCTGCACCCTGGCACTGTTGAGGTTTGGGGTCTGATAATGGTTTCTTGTGAGTTGTCCTATGCTTCACTGGCTACTTAGCAGCATGCCTGGCCTCCACCCACTGGGGTAGAGCACCCCCCATAGCACCTCCCCTTAAGCTATGACAACCAAACATCTCCATACTTGGCCAAAAGCACTGTGGAGGGCAAAGTCACTGTCAACTGAGAAGCACTGAGAGATGGCATGGCCAGATTGCGTGGGCCTCGTGAAGGAGTTTTGCTTTAATTTGTGAGCAGCAGGAAGCCATTCAGGGAAATTAAAGGGGAGAGGAGGATGACATAGTCAGGGAACTGCACTTCTAAAGCCTCCTCTGCCAGCAGTGAGTAACATGGGGAAGAAGGAAAGCCCAGGCCAGAGGGGACATGGACAGACCAATTAACATGCTAGCTCATCTTGGAAACTCCTAGACTAGTTGCTTGTGAAAGGTAATCACAGCGTGGGCTGGGGTGGTGGTGGTGGTGGAGATAAAAAAAAGTGGATGAGTTTGGGAGATGAGTCAAACCAGCAGGACATGGTGACAGATTAGACAAACGGGGTGAGGCAGAGAGACATCAAGAACAATTCATGCCAGAGTGAGTGGGTGGATGATGGTGCCATCTATTAAACAGGCTGGAGAGGGCCTTGGTTTTTGGACGTAGATTGCATTGTCTGAACATGTTACATTTGAGGGGTCTTCGAAATGCCCAGAACACATGCCAAACAAATAGTTGGATATGTGGGTCTGAAGCTCTAGGAGGTCTGCAATTTCAGATGTGAACTGGGGAACGTGTTCCAAAGGTGGTATCGTGGCTGTGAAAGTGGTGAGAATGTTTGTCATCGCCTGGGGAAGGAAGAGAGGCAGAAAAGAAGAAGCCGTAGGAGGGAGTCTTGAGAGTGGCTGTCATTCAATGACTTCATAGAGAGAACTACACCTCCAGGTGCAGAGAAGGACTGGCTGGAAAGCTGGTGAGATTCAGGAGAAGGTGGAGTCCCAGGCACCCAGGGAAGAGGGTGAGGCGTGAGTTAAGAGAGTGACTTAAAAACCAGACAGTACTGACCTGTGTCAGGTAATGTGAGAGGTCACAGGCACTGAAGGATGTCTGCTGGAGACAGAGCGGAGGTCATTGTTGGCGTCTTTGGGGAGTGGTTTGGGTGGCTCGCTGGGGCCAGGGGCCCGACGAGACCCAGTTGAGGAGGAGGAGGTGAGGGAGTGGAGACAGAGCGCTTTGATTACATCTGCAGCGGTTAGATCAGGAGAGAGAGGAGAGACACCAGGAAGGGTATAAGGAATGGGAAGCAGGAGGAATGCAAACACATTTAGGTGATGTGCAGAGGGAAAGGGTGCTTCCAAGGTGGAGGGATGGGACTCAAAGCGAGGGCCGTGCCTTAGAAAGGAGAGGCAAGTGGAGAGCTGGAAGCATAGCTGGGAGTGAGGTGTCACCAGGCACAGGAGGGGTGAGAATTATTAGCATAGTAATTCTTAGGAAGCAATAAGCCCGCAGGTATCTAAGAAAAATAACGACTGAGATACCCCTTCCTAGAACTGACTTCCCAGGGCTGCTGTCACACAGTACCACAAACTGAGTAGTTTATTTCCTCCTAGATCTCAGGGCTGCAAGTGCGAAACCAAGGTGCTGGCGGGCCCATGGTGTCTGCAGGCTCTAGAGAAGCTCCTTCCTTGCCTCTCGGCTTCTGGCAGTGGCTGGCAGCCCTTCCCGATCCGTGGCACTTCTTGACCCTCAGCTGCATCATGCTAGTCTTGACCTGTCCCCGTGTGTCTTACCCCTTAAGTGTGCCTCCAAATTTCCCTCGTGTGTGAGACCCTCGTCTCAACTTGATTAGAGCTGCAAAAAATGGCATCCTGTAAGGTCTCATTCACAGGTTCCAGGTGGACGTGGATTTTGGGAGACACTTCAACTCAGTACATGAGGCTATGCTAATGCATTTTAAAATTACCTGTAGAATTAACCCGAAATGTTTTTAATAGCTAACATTTATGATCCCAAGTGGCTGGCCGGTGTAGTGTCACACACTCACTCTCCACAAGTCTTGTGCTGTGTGATGTTTGCACTGTCCCACGTTACAGCCAAGGAAATGAGAGCTAACAGTAGCCAAGTGGCTGCCCCAGGGTGAAACCCTGGCAGTCAGGCCTTGAATCAGCACCCTTGACTCCAGAGACTACCTTTAGCAGTAGGCTCTTTCAGTGGCCCTTCTCCAGTTGCTCTTGAATTGATCAGAAAAACAAATCCATCAGCTAATTATCTGCCTCAGGAACTACCTTTCCTTGCCATCATTTCTTGTCCTATATTTTTCTGTGCCTACTGCTTTTTTATACATTTAGACTATCAGCTCCGTGTTGACAGCCCATTATGCATGAGAAGTCTGCTGCCTGGGCCATTCGGGCTGGAAAAATATAGTTCTCCCTTTTCTAGTAACTTCTGGGCTTGGTTTTCTTTCCTCAGGTCCATAGTGTCCAGTTCATGGAGTTCTCAGAAGCGGAGAACCAGGATGATTACTACAGCACAGGAGCTGGCTGTATCCACACCCAGGACCAGCAAGGGGCATATGTCATGTATGACGAAGCCTTGAACGATCTGAAGGAACTAGAAGCAGAGCTTCTGCTTGTGGGCAGCTATTACATTGAGAAAGAAAAGGGTAAGAGGTCAGATTTTTAAAAATCAACTGGTAGGCCGGGCATGGTGGTGCACGCCTGTAATCCCAGCACTCGGGAGGCTGAGGCAGGGGGATCGTTGGGAGTGCAAGACCAGCCT